ATCCTCCAGCTGCGGGTGCTCCTCCTCATTGGCATCCTCCAGCTGCGGGTGCTCCTCCTCATTGGCATCCTCAAACTGCGGGTGCTCCTCCTCATGGGCATCCTCCAGCTGCTGGTGCTCCTCCTCATGGGCGTTCTCCTTGTCTTCACACTCCTGCTCTTGTAGGTAATCCTGGCGTTTCACGTCTGTTTCAGATTTTTGTTGCACCAAGGATGCAGCCATAATGGCCTCTACATTTATTGATGGGACATCGTCTTCCGTGGTCGCCTCGGAAGCCACTTTGTGGGTTGTTTCTACCAGTGCTTTACACACCTTACCCTTGGATTCAGCGGCCAATTGTCCGTGCGAGGCGAACAACACTGAAGAAGGTAATTTAGATAGACAAGGTGCTACAGTTGAGTTGCGCGAAGACAATTTTCGGGGTGTGTGATACCCATTCTCTAGTTGGCTCTCATCGGTGAGCGCCAAGCTACCCTTCAACTCGTCAGGTACGTGCATAGGGCGGCTTCCCAGCGTCATCTCGGTGCTCACAGTTTTGTTACCTAGTGCATGCGTTTCGCTAGGGGCAATAAAATGTCCAACTTCATTCTGGACGGTATTATCTGAGGATGTAAGGGGCTGTGTCGACGCTGAGTTACGCTTCTGCAAGGCTTTGGTCGCAGACTCGGAAGCAGAAACAGCGGCTGCAATGGCGCGTCGCATGGCCTCTGACTCCAGCGGAGCGATGATACGAAGTGAAAGATTTATGGCGGGTTTGCCGCCATTGTCCACCATCGTCTCCTCACGACCAGCGCCGGCCTGAGCTCCCTTGAATGGTGGCGTCGGAAGCTCCATTGACGCAATGACGGCCTCTCGCTGCTGTGCTTCCTCCCAGAAGCGTGTCGGAATCTCTGCCAGGGAGCGAGGCTGTCCCAGCACAAAGGTTGCAGGTATCTTTGCCTCCGCCGCTACACTTGGCGCCACGACCGGTTCCACAGCCCAGCGCGAGGACTGCGGCACACGCACACCACCCAAAACAGACTGCATTGGCAGTACTGGCATCACCTCGCGAAGGTGCTCAGCCCAAAGCCGCCGGTCTCCCTCGCGGCAGTACAACCATTCCTCTGCTATTTTTTCACTGGTATTACATTTCCTGCCGGAATCCATGGAAAGAGTGGCACCCCCATCAACACCGCACTTCACCTCAGGCTTCGGCGTATCGATCAAAGATATCGAATTGCTGACAGCAGTAGCATGAACAGTTGAAGTACTGTCTCCGCTGCCGTAAACCAACCCGTCTGAAAAAACTAATGCCCCTGACAAGTTGCGTCCATCCTCCCACACGCCACGGTATTGGCCACCGCCTCTCTCCGCAGTAAAAAACAATGTTCCGTGACCATGCATGCGGCCATCCTTAAACGCACCAACATAGGTGTCACCATTAGCAAAGGTGTAGACACCTTGTCCGTGGAAACGTTTCCCGTCAGGGGTCATCTCCCCTTGATAGCTGCATCCCGTGTAAAACATAGATTGTGGCTAGCCTCCACGTGTCCACTGAATCAAGATAACACCCAATATTAATAATTTTGTTTCGCCTTCCTCTGTATAATTGACTCTGTCTTGCTTTAGCCGGTGTGTTCAAATGTGGCTTACCAATAAAACACATGTATGGGGGTCAAGGGAAAAGAGGCGAGACATTTTACTAGGTCCATTGATGCACATAAACAGACACAAAGAAATACAGTGACTCACGTCGCATAGCCAAGAAACGATAAAAAACATATTTGTGCGAGCGATCAATGTGCATACATGTATGTGTCTGTGGTATGTATCCACGTGTATACAGGTGATTTGCGTACGTGTATACATTGCACGTGGACAGATATCTATGTGCGTTGTATATGTATGCATTGAAGGTATCACTAAAACCCAAATTACACATGAAATAACAGCAACAACAACAAAAAAGCAAAAAAAAAAAAAACAAGAGACTAAAAAAAACACAAACAGAACTACACCCAGCACTACCAGTTTGGCCATCAAAAATCTTCTCCTCTTGCCTCTTGTTCGCCCGTGTACTCCGTTTATAATCGCAGAATGAGGAAAATAATAAAGAGAAAGTCGGTTGCAATACCGCCCCCACACCATCTCCCCACCCTGACAACTCACATGCACATACAACTTCATACACACAAACGTATTCACACAGGTACCTATTTGTATATTTACTCTACATGCCAAGCACCTCTGGTATGACGCCAGTCAAACAAAAAGAGAAGAAAGGCCAGTCGCCACAATTAAAGGTAACGATTGCGCAACTAACTGAAGTGGTGGGAAGGAGAAACAGCAACAACAAAAAGTAATCATTGCAGAAAAGCAACAAAGGAAACAACAAGTAGCACCCAACAAATGTAGCGGTGAAGAAGAAACTTGCAACCAGCTTCTACTACTACCATCACCGCAGTGTGCCTCCCAGTACAGCCGCTACTTCCGCCTCCGCCGCACGTACATGCCTCCAAAAGCGCTCTCAATGCTGTATGTCATGTACAGAAATCCATCAATGTCCTTCCTCTGCGCATAGAGGTCGCCAACGCAGGCACTATTTGGTAAAACAGCATCATCTATAAACAAAAAAATCGCCTGTTCTGCATCAAGCACCAATCGACCACGCAAAAGAACCATGAGCTGCTGCATGGATGCATCGCCAGGCACGAGAAACTTGCTACAGTCCAAGTCTCGCAGTACACGACAGCGCTCTGAAATTGGGCCCGCATTCAGCGCCGTGTCACTTGATGCAGGTTCACAAACGATCGGAATGTGCTGCGGGAAGCGCTCACGGACGGTCGTCACCTCCTTCTGGCGCTCAGCAAAAGTGTGCATGCGCTGATAGCAATATCTGCGTGGCATGCTTCGCAGAGCGTTCAGGAGAACAAAGCGCAAAATAATAACAATAAAGGAAAAAGGTGCTGTTAGGAATTGTATGGACGTAGATATTTGTACAGAGGCAAAATATGGCCAGTAATGGTGTCCGTAGCTGCTAATAGTGGAGTTGCTCGCCCGTTACCGGTCACTACTTTCCAGAAGAATGAGACAAAAGCACGGGACAAAAATGGGTAGGAGCGAACTTACTGAAGCACGGGAGAGAACGAGAAATAGGCAGTGAGTGAGAGGATGAACAACACAAGAGCGATGTGGTGCCGTGCAATGGTCACCGTGAGACTATTTGTACCCCGCCCCTGCCCGTTATGCTGCGGGAAAAGTACGAAGAGGCGGGCCACGGCGGCAAAACTGAAACCTTCACGTAAACAAGGGAGCAAGTGGGGGAACAAAAGACGTAAAACATAAGTTGGGCTTAGATGCAGTGTCAGCTGAGAGAAACCCCTTCACACACACACACACAGACAAAAACAACACAAAAAAAAGGGAGAAGAAGGGGGCAGATGTTGAAACAAAGAGGGAGAACGGGGCTACCGAAGGAGGAAAAGCATGAAAAGAAAAAAACGGCATGATGGAACCCTCCGCCCATCTCTCACACCTCCGTCAAAAACACATACACCCGGCCAAACAGGCAAGGGATTCATAACGCATTGAAGCCGAGACAGTTTATTAGCACCTCAACGTCACGCATCCTCGGAGCTCCCGTCTCCTTTTCCCCTTATCCCTAATATTCGCATTGTTAGGATTTTTTTTGCTCCAAAGTTTCTTTTTACCCCTGCATCACACCCTCTCTCTCCCTCCTGTGCATAAACGCACTGACAAGGAGGGGATGAAGGGCGAGGGAAAGAGTGTGTGTGTGGCGGTAGCCACGGGCGCCACTGTAGGTGGGCGTCCGGTTGCGGACGCACTGCAATAAATACCACTCGCACCCACCCATAAACGCCTACACACAAAAACAAAACAAAGCAAAATAAAAGGGGGAACCGGTTAAAATCAACTTATACACACCACGAAGGAGGATGGCCATACATTCATCCAGCACCAGGCATAAATCATAGCGGAAGTTGCAGTGAAATCGGAAAGGGCAGAAAGAGAAAGGTAAAAATACCTAAAAGAGAGGTAAAGAAAAAAAAAAGGCGTGGTCATGAATAGACGCCTGCACAGATGAATTATAAAACAGCACGTCATATATATATATATATATATATATATATATATATAGAGAGAGAGAGAGAGAGAGAGAGAGAGGAGAGTAGAGACGACGACCAACCAACCTATACTACTA